ACGTAGTAAATGCTTTGTATTCACAAAGTACACAGCTTCAGAAAAGCAGCCTTTTTGATGAGCAATCCTTTATCGTTTTCAGACATTTTCACACCTCACCTATTTTGTTCTCCACTCTCTCTAAAAAACAAAGCAACACTGTTTCAAAGAAAGAAGATACAGCTCTCCATCACCAAGGAGCCTCCACATTCTCTTGGGTCATGTTACATGGAAAAGGAGAGTTGACCTCCTTCCTGAAGGACATAAATTGGCATCTTTTATAGGAGAAAAAGAAGGCATGCTTTGAGGGAGGGATGATAAAAGCATGGGGGAAGAAGAGGATATTGCAGGTAAAACAAGTGGCAGATAAAGAGGATGAGTGAAGGGTCAAAACGATATATGAAGATATACACATTTCTTGCACAATCATTCCATAAAAATGTCAACAAGCAAATGGTTGGCTGGCAATACTACAATTAAAATAGGTAATTTAAGTGAAGGAAGTAGCCTAACTGAGCTCAGTGTGACTATTAACACTTATTTACTGGTCTCAGTGGAATAAAATACTGAAGGACAAGAGCTTGAAGTGAATAAAATTGTATCCAATTTACAATCATATGAAAAGATAGCAGGCTCATGGCCAGAAAATATTCCTCAATTAAGCTTCATTTCAATGGCTTCAGTTTAACCAGCTGGATTTTTATTTAAAGTAAAAAAAAAAAAAAAAAACCAACTATCTTATCCAACTTTTGAAAAGCAGGATTTGCCTTTTAATGGGTAATCTGTCTCTTTTTTATAAAATGAAAGTCAGCAATAACTGGTGTTTTGCACACATGGAAGCACAATAAAATTGATACAGAGAAATGGAAGGCACAGCCCCCGTGCTCAAAGACACAACGTTCCACAGGGGAGAAATACCTGACAAATGGGAGGTAACTACATTTGGGTTATGAGCACGTATCTCACTGGGACTTTGTCAGTTCATGGTCCAAGGCTATGTACTTTATTATTTGCCAGTCGACTTATGAGATAAGTGAGTTCTATGCTTAACGTGCCATGATAATTTTCAAAATAAATTTTATTTTATTTTATCCCATTCCCCCCTCAAGCCCCCTCCCCTCCCTCTGTACAAAAGCTTTGTTTCCATTTTTTTTCTTCTATTTTCACTTTTTTCTTGTCCCTTCCTTTCTTTCTCGCTCCCATGTTATGATAATTTTGAAGATGACTTCTCAATTAAAAAACAGCTTAATGTCAAATTATTTCAAATAATCATTCTAACAGGCTGTACAATTTAGTAAAATTTTATTCCTAAATATATAAAAATAATTTCAGATTCTGGAACTCGAAGAGGTAAGCTTTTATCAACTGGAAAATTCTCTTTCATCAAGATGCTGAACAAATAAATTAGATGTTACTATACTAGGAAACCTATTTCATCTTTCATCCTGCTTTCTGTATTTTTAAGATAAAAATCCAAATTGTTCTCCTGTGTCAGAACATTCAATATGAAAAGCCAGTACAATAGGTTAAAGTTCTGTTTTTTTAAATGTTAGGTAATCAAGTATCACGTTTCATCTTCACACATGCAAATAAGTTGAAAAAGTAGAACTATGCAGATAATGGAATACAAATCAACAAGTGTTTGTGGGCCACCACTAGTGAATCTGAATGCTGTAAATGCCAGAGGAGTAGAATTTCTACCCTCAGTGATTCACTAATTAAATAGCCACAGTGGTAGCCTTAGAAAGGGAGGAAATTTTATGAATTTACAACGATGCAAAGCAGAGGAAAATGGGAAGCAAAGAATGGAGAAAGAACATTTAATTGGAGAAAATTAAGCAGTGGATCCATAGAGAAAATGGCATTTAATAAGGGGTTTGAAGAACCTTCAGATGCAGCAAAGCAAATAGGGTGAAGAGAAGACCTATGCATTAGAGAAAATGCCTGCAAACCAAGCATCTGCTAAAGGAGCTCGTGTCCAAAATATATGAGGAGCTCAACTCAATAGCAGGAAAACAATAACCTGATTAAAAGTGGGCAAAGTATCTGAACAGACATTTCTTAACAGAAGAAATAAAAAAGGCCAATGGATATATGAAAGATTCCTCAACATCACTAATGATCAAGGAAATGCAAGTTAAAACTAACATGAGCTGCAATACCTGTTAGAATACCTGTTAGAATGCCAGTTATTAAAAAGAAGAAAGGTAACAAGTGTCATCAAGTATGTAGAGAAAAGGAACTCTTGTTCCTTATTGGTGGAAATGTAAATTAATTCAACCATGATGGAAATCAATGTAGAAGCTCCTCAAAAAATTAAAACTGGAACCACCAGATGATCTACCAACCCCACTTCTGGGTGTATGTCCAAAGGAAATGAAAGCAATACGTTTAAGAGATGTCTTCACCCCCATGTTTATTGCAGAATATTTCAAAATAGTGAAGATATGGAAGCAATCTAAGAGTCTATTAACAGATGAATGGAGGAGATGGTGAGGTATTACATGCCTATACTTCCAGCTACTCAGGAGGCTGAGTTAGGAGGATCATGAGTTCAAGACGCCTGGACAACTCAGTGAGACCTTGTCTCTAAAAAAGTAAAATTAAAAAGGACAGGAGCCTGGGGAAGTAACTCAGTGGTGGAGTGTTTGTCTAGCATGCACAAAGCCCTGAATTCAATCCCTGGGTTCAAAGATTTTACACCACAAAACAACACATAAACAAAACAAAACCCAGTTGAATGGATAAAGAAAAGATGATAAACATACTGGAATACCATTTAGCCTTAAAAGGAATAAATTCTGTCATTTTCAGCAACTCAGATGGAACTTATGCTAAGTGAAGTAAGCCAGGCACTGAAAATAAAGACATAATATAGTAAGCAAAATAATCCAGGTTCCAAAAGAAAAAATACTGTGTAATCTCACTTATATAAGGAATCTAATGATGTTGAACCCATAGAAACAGTAGGAATGTGGTTGCCCTAGGTGGTGTGAAGGAAGAACGGAGATGGAAGAAAAGGAAGTTGATGTCTACAGAATGTAACGTCTCAAACTGGAGGAATAAGGTTTAGTCATCCAATGTACTGTGTGGTAACCATAACTAAGAATAATGTATTATAGGTTTTAAAATTGTTAAAAGAATAGTTTTTAACATTCTTACCACACATACACATAAAATAAGCTGGTGTATTAGTCAGCTTTTTCCTTGTTGAGACACAATATATAAGACCCACAACTTTTGAAGGAGAGATTTAACCTGCTCACGGTTTCAGTCCATGGTCCCCTGGCTCCAAGGGAGGCACAACATGGTGGAAGGTTGTGGTGGAGCAAAGCTAATTAGTTCATGGCTGACATTTGGAAGCAGAGCAAGGGAACAGTGCAAGAGCAGGAGTGGTGACCAGACATAGACCCAAGGGAACGCCTTCATGACCTTCCCAGATATACCTAGCAGTGCTCTCCACCAGTCCCTGAGATATATGCCAAAGCCAATCACGTAGAAACTTTACCTTAACAATCACAGTTGGTAAAGTGATGGTTATGCTAGCTCGAGTCTTTCTAACTTGTAGTATAAAGTCCAAAATATCATATCCAAAATATCTAAATTGTATACAGTCCAAAATATCAAATGCACATAGTTATTATTTGTCAGTTAAGTGAATATACATTTTTTAAAAGAATGATAGGTAAAGTTGACCTATATGGAGACAAATTAGAAGGGCATTTGAGGTATTGTAACTCTAAGAGCAAAACAGGCAGGTGGTAGAGAATGAAATTTAATGGGAAACACTAAATAATATAGTTCTAAACAAAGGTTATTGAATGGAAAAATGGGTAGATAAGTTTGAGTAGATTGATTTAATACTGGAAGGCATTGAATTTCAAACCAAAGCTTTTGTATAGCTTAAAATCTACTTGTTTTGCCATGCAATCTAACCCAAACTAGAAGCTATCTCTAAGTCACTTAAGTACAAAAAAACCCAAGCTCTAGAGCCTTCATCAAAATGCTTGAAGATTTGTCTAGATTTTTCTAACTTCTGAATCTTTTTCCTTGCTGCTTTACATTCTACTCAAGAGTTACTTTGGGTGTCATCCTTTACAAAATGGTTATGAATACCAAGTTTTAAACAAGATTTATTGAAATAGAATTCACAGACCATAAAATTCACTCTTTCAAATTGTACAATTCAGTAGCTTTTGGTACATTTACAGAGTTGTGCTAATGTCACCATTATCTAATTTTAGAACATTTTTATCACCCTCCAGTGACATCTCATACCTCTTATCTGTCAGTTCCCCATTCTCGGTATCCCTGACCCCTGGAAACTGTTAGTACACTCAGTCTCTGTCACCTTGCCTACTTTAGACATTTTCTATAAATAGAGTTATATAGCATGTGCTCTTTTGTGTCTGGCTTCTTTTCACTCAGCTTAATGTTTTCAAGGTGTTTCCATATTATAGCATGTATCAATACTTCATTTATTTTATAGTTGGATAACATTTTATTGAATGTATACAACACATTTTTGTATCTACATTTAGCAGTTCATGGAAATTTGGATTGTTTTACTTTCTGGCTATTCTAAATTATTCTGCTGAGAATATTAATTTATCTATTTTCTGGTCACTTGGTCCTTTTGAAATCATTGCTTAACTTGAGGCAACAGGCTCATTTTTTGGAGAGTCTTTATGAATTTTAGTTTTAATGTTAAAACCATGCCCAGTTTCATTTAACTTTTATATGTGTTGTAAAATCAGGGTCCAACTTCATTCTTTTACAAATTGATATCTAATTGTTTTTGCATCAGTGTTTAATTTTCTTGGCCCCCACAGATGTAAATGTGTTTTAATCGTCACACTTACATATTTGAGCACTTACTTATCCTTTACTGACTTCTTTTGTAAAAGGGTTAGGTTAAATATCTATTTTCTGAGTGGATGTTTATAGGAAACATGGACGGATTAATTTCTTGTATGTAGTTTTCATGCCGTAAGAAACTGACATAAGAAATTTAGCCTTACCTGGCCATGGTGGTGCACACCAATAATCCCACCAGGCTGAGGCAGGAAGATGGAAAGTTCAACACTGAAAGGCAGAAGAGAGACCTTGAGTTAGGGAGACCTTGACTCAAGGTAAAAAAATAAATAACAGAAGCCATGGATGTAGCTTCGTGTGAAGGCCCTCAGTTTAATCCCCTGTACTGGATGAAAAACAGAAAATTGGCTTTGTTTTCAAATTAAGACTAAGGACTTCTATTAAAACCCCATAAGCTAATCTCTGTTCCAGGGGTTCGTTCTCTCTTAGTTACTTTTCTCATTGCTGGGAACCCACGAGTTAAAGGAAGAAGAATTCATTTTATCTCACAGTTTATGGAGGTTTCAGTCCATAGTTGGCTGGCTCCAAGGCAGAGCAGCATGGCAGAGGGCATCACAGAGGAGAAACAGTCCATGGCATGGTGGGGAGGAAGCAGTAAGACGTCCTTGTTTCCCTTTTTATTCCATCCAGGCTGTAAGCCTATTGATTGGTACCATCCGCACCCAGGGTGGATCTTTCCTCTACAGCAATTCCATCACCCACACCCAGAACTATGCTAAACCAATCAGTAAGCTAATCCAGTATCACACACCATGATCCAGTACCATGCATCTATAGTCCACTCACATGCAAAAGCCCCACCTATGAGTGTATGAGGCTTTGAGGGACATCTAGGCATAAACCAAAACAGCTTCTCTGAGAAAAATTTCCAAAGAGGTGATAGGGCTTCTCAGGAGAGAGAGACTTAACCATAGGAGAGCATAATGAGACTCTGAGCTCTGTGGGGAGCCCACTCAAAAGACAAAAAGGAGGGGAAGGTGTCTACTTGCACCTGGCCTGCTTTTCTTTCCAGACTCACTAATAAGAATGAAGTGAATGCAGGAATAGAGGAAGGCCAGGGTTCTCATATAGATGAAAGAAACATAACAGGTGGAGAACGAGCATTTACCCAAAACACATATCTAATTCCTCAGGCAACATGCCCTGTGCTGGTGCAGGCCTTGATTCTCCCTGACCCCTCTCCTCCCCACCCTACTGAGTCACTCAGCAGGAAGAATACAACACGTACCTGGCTCTCTCATGGTCTTAGACGAGGGCTTCCTCAGACTCACTGTGGTTGTGATGCTCTCATACGCACCACGGATCTCATGTCTGGTCACTCAAAGACTGATGACCAGCCTGCAGCAGAGAACTTTGCTGGGAAACTTTTTGTTTTGTGAGTCACTGCAGGCAAAGAAATATTATTGCTGACTTTTTGATCTAAATATACCCTAAATTTTAGATGGAAATTGATGGCAATTCTATTTTGGGCCAAGAATTCACTTCTGGGCCCTACAAAATGACATTTTTGGCTCTACTTTATATGGAACCAAAGGGAATTGTTCATTAACATTTGCAAGCTGTTTCTTTGTATTCATGGTCTGATGAAAATGACTCAGGAGCCAGAAAATGTGAAATGAATTTCCATCTCTCTCCCTTGACTCTGTGGGTAACTTTGGGCTGAACTCTTAACTTCCCTGAACTTATTTTCTCCACCTGTACAATGGGGATAACAATAATAGGGAATCTGTTTGCTTCATTGCCTAGGTCATTGTGCATAATTAAAAAAAAATCTCTCTCACAAGTGAGAAGGATACAATTAAGTGCCTCTTTTGAAAGTTGGAAAATAAAAGTTTGGCATAAATGCAAGTTTCAAAGGCATGAATCATTTTAAGGACTATCGCATTTTTTATTTATTTGGCATAAAATATAACAAATCATTCTTTTACAATTTTAAAATAAGTCCACACTGACAGTTATTGATGATAACATGCAATATTGACCATTAAATTACTTTGTTAGTAACATGGTTTTCTCATTAAAGCATACATGCCCTTATTTCTAAAGTTTTGGTCAACTACCAGCCTTCTGGTAGTTTTAGTGTGTGACAGGCTCTTGTTCTATGTGCTTCTGTGTCTGAGGACAGTGTGATCCCCATGCACACACAGTAATATGCCAGCCACTCCAGTTCTGCAGGGTAAAACTCCCAGTCAAATAAACACACTTCAGTGAGGTTTTAGGATCTCTAAATATTTTTAATTAAAAAAATTTATTTCATGTTTTTTAAAATAGCGAACTCATCATTTAAACCTAAAAAACTCCAAGTTTGTGCAACTTTTAAGGAAGGCATCTGTCGCCAGAACAAGGTGCACTCTGGTTTCCAGTCACGGAGTGAAAACTACATTTCACATGGCTTGCTGCGTCCTTGGGACCGAGAGTGTCTCTTTAGATGCAACGTGCGCTCCACCTTGTCCAGGCAAACTTTCATTATAAAGATGCTCAGCATGTAAAGAAAAGCTTGCAGTCATTTCCTCAATCATATGGTAGCATTTACCTACCGGATCTAAAGAGCTTTATTTCATCTGTGCTTTCTTTTTGTGATAGTCAGACACCGAGCACTTGATTGACTTCTATTATTCTGCATATTGCTTTGGTTGTGTTACTGGGTGGGAGTTGTGATTAATCTTGATTTTGCTGAAGTCATGGTGGCAAGGCTACTTCGAGTCTATGTCTCATTCCCCTACAAAGTGGCTCATGGAGTCGATAACAGTCAAGTGGAGCTAAGTTGCTCCTTCACTGGCCATTCTCAAACAAAAGACAGATTCCTTCATGGGTGTCCTTCCTGGACATGATCTGGGAATTTGAATTTTAAAAGAAAAAACCTTACAGATGTTTTTGATATTCAGCCATGTGTCAGCATTATTATTTTAATTAAAGAACAAAATAGAAGATAATAGATAATAGAAAACAGGGAGCTAGATGTTCTGTCAATGGGAATGGGACCAAGAGATGAAGGGAGAGGGGGGAAGAAGGGGATGTAAAAAGAATGAAGACGTGTGACGTACATGCACCAGCCCCTCAGGGTGAATGTAATCAGAATGTACTGCTAATGTGTACTAATTAAAAAACAGGTTACTGTTTTAGTTTCTTAAAGTCCTCCTTGAATTCAGAATAAATGTCACTGGGATTGGGGTGTAGCTAGCAGTCGAGTGCTTGCCTAGCATGTGCAAGGCCTTGGGATGGATTCTTAGCATTGTAAAATAAAAACAAAAAGAAACAAACACCTACAGAATACATGTCCTTCCATGTGTTCACATGTCACTTTAAGTCCAGCACAAAAGAGAGAACCCCCAGCTCACGCTTGGATGGGCCTTTTCATACTCATGGGCTTTTCTGCTTTTTGTAGCTGGTACTGGGCTACCAGTTCATGTTGTGAACATCATGTTCATTTGTTTATTTTCCCAGTTTTTACACTAGCCAAGAATAAGTCAAGATTTAGAGCTGCATTCAAGTACTTAGACCACTTATTAACTTATTATTTTGAGGTCTGAGTATAAAATGTGTCCATCAGTGCATTTACTGCATACTTCAGAACACATAGGAGGAAACCCAACCTCAGCAAGCGTTATATGTCAAAGTGGGTAAGACAGGAAAAAAAATCACCAAAAACCAAATACCCAAACCGGAAACAAAAATGCAGGATATTAAAACAGGTAGTTTTATTCACTTTCTATTCCTGTAACAGCTCACTTTTATGCTAACCACTATAATTGTACCAATTTAGCACTTTGTATAGTATTCATTATTTAAAAAAGAAAAGAGTATTGCCCTCATTGTTAGAGGTTATCTCAGATTCTTAATTGAGAACTGCTAGGAAATATTAATACCAAGCAGAAAGCTGAAAGGCAACCTTTAAAAACCCTACCAGACTGAAGAACTCCAGCTCTACTGTTATGCTCTGCTGCATCCTGCATATGATCATTTTATCATTCAAGACGTTAATTGAAGGTTATTTTCAATCTGGACTATGCTTTCATGTCTTTGGAGTGGGATGCCCATATAGTAATCTTATTCTGTAGTGTTTTGGCCGTAGTAGGATACTCTTCCTATTAACCCTGTTGTGGGACAGACAGCTAGAGACAGACAGAGTTCCTAGTGACGGGAGGATTCTTGATAGGTTAAGTTAACTACCATGTTGCCAAACCTACCCACAGTCTAGACTTCTAGGGAGCTTGGTCCACATCTGCTCAGCAGGGCTGAAGGTCTTCTGGTCAGAATGTGTCTGTAGGAAAGGTAATTTTTGCTTTCTTTCCCCTGGATATGCCCTTGCTGCACTGAATGTCACTCCCTTTATTTTATGGATGATGAGATGTACTAATCACAGTGTCATATTGAAAACAAAAAAAAAACCCTACCCATTAGCCAGCTCAGATTATAATTAAAGGAAAAAGAGAAAAGGGCCTCTGCACAAACAGTGCCAAAATTTCAAGGGACCGATCCATAGAGTACAGAGTCGTAGGGATGCATACTTGGTGAGTAATTTTCCTAGGCCACACGTTACCAAAAATTCATCGGACACAGGCTTCCCTCTGATTTCCATTTAGGTTTAATGGGTGAATAATCATGGCTCATAAGTTTATCTTTAATGGCAGTCACAGCAGACATTTTATTAGCAGATTCTGCAGGCTGCGGGGCTGTCATTGGCTGTTATAGTGATTGTCTGTTTTAAATATCACAGCTGTTGGTGTTTTTATTTATTTATTCATGATTTGATTCCTGCCTCTCCCACATCTCCGATGCTCAAAGGCAGGCTCTTTTCCTTTGCTCTTTGAATTGTGAAAGGCCGCTGTGACAGGCCCTAGCCTGGGCCATGGAGTGTCACACAGGGTCCCATGGTGCAGAACAAAAAGCCATGTCTTCCGGAATCAGGCAGAGCTCTTTATGAGTGCAGGGCCTTCTTGTGGGGGCCTTTCTCTGGCTGTGAGTGGCAGGCATGAATGGGGTCCTATCCGGGGCTCAGGGCCAGTGAAGATCCTTCTTCATGTATTTCTTGGCCAGAGGAGTGGAGCCCCTAGGAGAAATGCAAATGCCCAGGCCCCCACTTCCCTATGCAAAATGAGATAGCGCTGTGAATAGACATTGGAAGCACTGCCATCTGCAGTTTCTAAATTCAGCGGAGGAGACAGAGTGGTCATAATACATAGCATCTTTCATTGAGTTGTGTGGGGACAGGCTTGCATTTAACAGATGACATTATTGCCTTTGTCTTCAGAAAGCCCCTGTGAGTCAGGGTGGAGAGAGGAGAGAAAGGAAATGGAGTCTTGGGTGAACGTTCCTAGACTCCGTGTTTCTGATTCAGCACTATTGGGAGCCTCATGGCCTCATATTTTCAGCAGAACCTATAGTTAGGTAAAGGCTGCTGCTGCTACTGGTAGGGAGCTGATGTGGGGAGCCCAGACATGCCCTGACTACCAAGTCACCCCTTCTACCCTGGGAAATATGCTGTGCTTCCTGGAGTGAATAAAACAGTGTCCTCGCCTGATGGACTGGGGTGGGTGGGGCACCACGACAAAGCGTGGTCACTCACAGAAGCCCCTAGTGGCCATGGCCTAGCAAAGGGCACCGGGTGGCTTCCATTCACATTGAAATGTAAGTAACTCATTGCAGCAAATTTCCTAGGAGCAGGCTTGGATGCCTGCGAGGCCACTGGAAGCAAGAAGAGAGATGCGAGAGTCACCCATTTGCTGATCTTTCTAGGCTTGTGTTCTGCCCCCACACACTCTGGTATATATGAGATTCTTGCCAAGTTCAGCAGAAACAAGACTCAGAGGATCTCTGTGACCCCCATTGCTTTGAGAGACAGGATGCCACAGGCTGTAAAGGTGCTAATAGTCCTCCCCTTCATGGTCTGCAGCACATTTTACCTTGTGTGCCTTTTAGTAAGTGCTTCTGTAGAGGAACAGTAAAAGCCAACCTGCGATAATAACGCAGAAGATAATGGTGGGTGCTGGGATTATTTGGCATGCAAATTTCACTGTTGCTTTGATAATATCTTTATCCAAATAACAAGGGCCAGAAAATGACAGTGGAGCCAGACTCGGGCTCGGCACTGTCAACTTTCCATATACCTGGCTGCAGACTCTTCCCAGGGTCGGGCTGAAATTGGTTGGCAGTGGCCACGAAGGGAGAGCTGTACCCCTGCAGCCCTTGTGATGAATCGGCGGTAGTGTCAGCATCACTGTATTGGCGAGTGTGTAGCTTAGTGGGTCTCAAATTCTGTCCCCCTGCCTTGCCCCAAGCTCTAAGAGTCTGTAACCTGTGTGACAGTGTTCTTAAGGGCCAAATACAACAATTATTTTATCACTACCATAATAGAAATTAACTTAATTCGTTCCGTG